TATAATTAAAGTTTCTTTTTGTAGTACAGGTCAGGTACCTGTGAAGTTCTAACCATATTTTGCTCTTACAGTAGTCTGTTAATAAGTATCGTGTGTGAAAGAGTGTAGCCTCGGGTGTTCTAGTAATAAATTCCAGTCCAAAATATTTTGTCCTTTGTCCATTTTTTATAGCTAAGCTTTTGCTTCATATCTGCCTCCATGTTGCATATCAACATTTCTTATGCTGTTATTTTGGCCAATATTCCTGGGAAAGACTATTCTTGTACACCAACACATCAGAAGTACAGTCGCTCAAAAGAGTATCTGAAAAATGTCACAATGGTTGCCATGTAATATATATAAGACGTTTCCTGCCGTTTGTCATTCACGTGTTTCATATGAATATAATTAATATGGTTATATTAACAGGGAATGACAGTCTAAAAAAGACATTATCCATGTTAGACACATACAGTAAACAATATGTGTGTGGTAATGCTTTAATGTTCTTCTGCGCAACAACAACAACAACTAAATGCATATGTTGACTATCCATACGTAGCATTTGGTATTCATACATGTATTAGATATCAGGGCATGTTATAATTAATAGGTAAGGTAGACAGTAATGGCATCTCACGTTTATTGAATTAATATTTTGTGTAACCACCTCCTGCATCCTGAACACATTGTTTGGGTTCATAGCAACATGGCAACTCTACCCTGTTGTCGACACTAGTGTGTTTCACATGGGGCATCAAACCTTCTTTGTAGGTTGATTATACTGATTACATACAGGTATGACTATAATGCAATGTTTACTGTTTACATGTCGTAGGATACTTGTAATTATGAAGATAAACTACATTGGTTATAAGCAGTTGTGACATCTACTCATGCTTACCAACCTTACCGAGGCAACAATGGCCAGACAACGGGTTGTATTGATCGTTTTGACATCCATTGGACCCCACTTTTCAGATACTTTTTTGAGTGACTACAGTACAGTACTAGGGATCTATTCCCAATCATCAGTACAATGGACAAGCAGGAGTAGAATGTGGATGTTCTACAACTCTGGTTGATTCAACAGATTTTATAAATGAATTACTGCTTAACCACATTACTATCCAACTATACATGTACCCTACAGCAATTCAGACTAGTTGATACATGATAATCTAGGAATTAATCTTTTATTAGCTATCTAATGTATATATTGTGCAATATATATGTCCTCGTGTTTTAAACCTATCAGTGTAAGTAATGGTGGTGGTTGTTGCTTCCAATGGAATTAGAGATTTCTGCTTATCTTTTCCTTTTAGCAACATCAGTTAAAGTCATGATAGACGATCAACAAGATGATGTAAGTCAACTTCATGATTGTATTACAGTAAGTCCTCGCTTAACGTCATGGTTCTGTTCCTGAAAACCGCGACGTTAACAAAAACAACGTCAACGGAATCAATTTCCCCATAAGTAATGGATAAAATACGGGAGTTACGTTCCCCAGCCTCCCTTTGCCCCATAAGATTCATTACATATACAGAAATTCAATGGTATTTTTATGGAAAATATTTTTTTATTTTTTTTTACGGGGACCAGGGCACAGGTCACTGACCGACACTTTGGGGGATTTAATAATTATTCTTAGTAAATAAAATTTATAAAAAGAAAAGTAAAATAATAATAACAATAATATTAACACTAATAATAATAATAATAATAAAGAATTACATTAAAGAAATACAAAAATGAAAAACAAATCAATAGTGAAATGCTATATGTATGTTCTGTTGTCAACTAAGAGAAACAATTGAGACTGCAATTGTGTGCAAATGAGGCAGAAAGACAGATCAGCAACCTGGGTCTTGGTCACAATTTTTGTGATGTCATATAGCAGCAGGGTCTACCATTAGACAACATATTTATTCCAATATCTTCCCAGGCGATAGTACCTCCCTGTTTGGTAGTTGCCGACTACCTACAGGTATATATAAATAAACTAAATCATTCTGTATTGCACTTGCTGATGGGTGGAGGTGGTGAGTAGTGGAGCGGAGGAGGAGGGTGGCTCCTCCCGCTCTGACTGGTTTTCCTCCTCGCTTGCAGGCTGTTGTGAAGATGCTGCTTCTGCCTTACGGCGATAAAAAAAAAGAATCCAGAGTTGACTGCTTAGTGCTCCTCTTCTTTTTGTCCTTGTAGATCTCATTATAGCAACTAAGAGTTTCCTCCATGTTGCATATAATCTTTGAGCTATGTGCTCTGTTTAGGTCGTCATCAATGAAGATTTGCATTTCTTGCTGGATCATGTCAAACGCTTCTGCCATCTTCTTGGTAGTTAGCGTTCTTTGTGGTTCTTCTACATCATCATCTTCAGCGGCACTTGTTTTGTTAGCAGTAGCAGATCTTCATTAGTAAGCTTTTCCAACTCGGGAAAGCCTGCCTGTCTAATCAAGCTGAGGATATCCCTATTCACAGGTGGGACTAAGTCCGTGAATCACGAAAAAATGTTCATGACTCGGTCCATAACTTAAACCACACACCATTCAGGTAATTTTTTGAAACTTCTTCCCATGCCTTACCAATGTTGTCGATTGCATGAAGAATGTTGAAGCCCCTCCAATATTCTCGGATAGTAGGTTTATTTTCTACGTCAGTAGCCTTGAGCAGTTGGTCCATGGTATGCTGTAAATAAAAAGCCTTGAATGCGGTGATAACGCCTTGGTCCATAGGCTGCATCAGTGCTGTCTTGTTGGGAGACAGGAAGACAACTCGAACATTGTCATGTAAGTCGTCGAGGCTGGGAGGATGAGCTGGGGCCTTGTCAATGACAAGAAGAATTTTGAAGACCAGGTTCTCCTTGGCACAATACTCCTTCGGTGCAGGGACGGCGTATACGTTTAACCACTGGCTAAATATGGCGCTGGTTATCCATGCTGTCTTATTTGCCATGTAGATAACAGGAAGGTGAACCCTAGAGTAACCTTTCATGGCACGTGGGTTGGCAGCGCGAGAAATTAGCATCGGCTTCAGCTTGAAATCGCCAGCAGCGTTCGCGCCAAGCAGGAGCTTCAAGCGGTCTTTTGCCGCTTTAAAACCTGGTGCTCTTTTTTCTTCCTTGGCGATATAGGTTTTTTCGGGCATCCTCTTCCATAAGAGACCAGTCTCATCCACATTGAAGACTTGTTTCACCGAGTAGCCTCCTCGATAATGCTTTTGAACTCTGGCGGGAATATTTTGGCAGCAATCGCATCTGAACTAGCAGCTTCACCAGTCATCTTAATATTATGAAGTTACAACGGTGCTTAGAACATTGAAACCATCCTGGGCTGGCCGTAAAGGTCTCATCCTTCGATCCTTTTACCTCTGCTGCCTTTAAGTCGTCAAACAAGGATTTTGCTTTTTGCTGGATAACAATAAGGCTCACAGGGGCATTGCGTTGATTCTGATCTTCCATCCACATAGCGAGCATCCTTTTCAGCTTTTCAATCAGAACTTTGAGCACGACTTGTCTTTGTTGCACTCAGAGAAGTACCACTTCAGCACTAGCCTTAATCTTGTCCGTGTTGGTCCGGATAGTACGCACTGTTGTGGGGGTTAGACCTAGGGAAGCAGCAATGTCCACCGTATGTTGACCTTTCTCAAAACGGGTTAAAACCTCCATTTTCATAGCAAGACTAATGGTCTTGTGTTGCTTCTTCACAACACTAGCATCAGTAGCGCTTGATGGGCGCTTGGAAGCCATTTTGAATGGTTAAAGTACAGTATTAAGAGCAAAAACACTTAAACACGCACAAACGCTGTGGAAGCCTAACAAAGACTGGCGACGCTGTGTGACGCTTTGCGAGTGAGAGCGTAGCGTGCCTAGATGAGAGCATCGTAGCGCGCCAATATGAGAGGGGGTTATGCGCCGTACAAAGTAGTCCGTGACAGGGTTATCCGAAGCATGGGTATTTAAAGCGTAGTGATAATATAACGAAACAACGATATCGGGGGCAACGTTAAACGAGGACTTACTGTATTTATATTTACATGGTTGTTGCTTTCAGAAACGTGATGAAAGAGAAATGTAACATTTTATATATAGTAACTGGAAGGAGTTTGGAAGAGTAGTAATAGAAAGTTAGTAGTGAGTGTGATCAAATGTAATGATAAGTAGAAAAGGGAGATAGGGAGAAATAAATGGATGATGTGGAGTACATCAAGTGTCTTGGATTGATTGTTTCAGGAAATGGAATGACAAGTGATGAATTTAATAAAAGAGTAACTAGGGAAAGAAATTACAGTACTGTAATGAAGTTAAGAAATACTTGGAGAGGTACAGCAATGTCAGGCAAAGATAAAGCTGCATTGCAGAATTTGTTAATCCTCAGTATTATGTGGGTGTGAGGCATGGACTTGGGGTGTAAAAGAAAGCAGTATGTGGGGCTAAATAGGATACAAGAAAGAAAAATAAGTAATGTTGGGCAGAGAAGGTTTGCACACTGAGAGAATGGGAAGTACAGGAATGGTGTATAAATCAGAGATGCTTGACAGAAAAGACGTGGAGACCAAAAGGAAAATCGGAAGAGGTAGTGAAGTATGGACGAAGTAGTGAGGTAGATGGACATAAAGAAACAGTAGTGTGTATGATTGAGAGGACTGTGGTGACAAGTGATTTTTGGTGAAGGTCATCTAGTTTCAAGTGCATTTAGTCTTTGTTGAGGGGACATATCAGTGATGAGACTTGACAATGTCACGTGTCTGATCTCTTTCTCTGTGTCTTTCATTTGTTAAGAAAAAAACCTAATGAGTGAAGCAGGTTTCTGTGAAGGGAAATGTTAACTTGATTCTGTTCCTGTTGTGAAAGGGATTCCTTTAGCAGAACACCTTTTTTTAACATTAAGAATGAATAAAAGACAATAAATGATAGGAAAACCTGTACTGTATTTGTGCCTGTGTCTGACCACCTTACACGAAGTGGGAAAATCTTGAAAGAGTGAAAAAAGTTTTCCCATAATTATTGATGTTTTCTACAGATCGCTGCTAAGATCCAACCGTCCGGTCAAAAGCGTCCCTTGGAAGAGGCAGAAGGCGGCATGGATCGTTTACCAGGTAGGTTCTCTCCAAAAATGTAATATTAAGTGACTCACTTTTCGGATCTATGTCGGATCTTCTTCCTGTTAGTGCTGATAAATAGACCACTGGAGTTTGATTGATCAAGTTGTTGTGTATGTTGTCATGAGGTTTGTGTCCCTTGTAGAGTGTCTTCAGAACAGCTATTGCTCTGACCATCATTGTCAGCTTGGCTCTTCTGGTTGAGTTGTTTTATTGTTCTGCTGGTATTTTACTCTACATAAAGCTCATTTGTTAGTTGCAGTAAAAATTTGTTTGTTTAATATTACTTGGATTGGGCCAAGTGTATTTTATTTCTATCTTGAGTTCCTTTATGGACAAATTTAACCAGATGCTTAAATTTCAAATGTGGGGAAGTTTTTGCTCTCCCTCTCTCCAGCTGGAGGATAATGGTGAAGACTTTTGTACTGTATATTGGTCTTGGTCTCAGTCACCTAAATGTTAACAGCATCTGTCCTTGAGTTTGTTTGGAGGTCCTCACTGTACAGTCTCTTGTAGTACAGTATAGGTTGTGGAGGTAAAGTGAGTGGAACTTTTATAAATATATTTGTGTACTTCATTTATGGATACACAAGAATCTAGGTTATAAGGTTATCTAATTCAGCAACCTCAGAGCATGTTGCAATAATTAAAAATATTTGGTTCATATTTATGAAGAAAAAATATCTAAATGTCATCCAATTGCACTAGTACAGTACCCTTATTCCTGTTCTTAATAATGGCTCAAGGCCTGAAAGCATTAACTTATTCTGTAAGTGTGTAAAGAGGCAACTACAGGGATGTGGGTCAGAGACTGTCTCTCATGGAAAGATATCTTAGAGAACCTCAAACATAGGCTGTGTGGTACTGTACCACCAGCAAGTTATACTGTACAATTTTGTGAAAACAAGTGGAGTGTTAGGTGGAGGGTGTATGTTAAAAGTAAGTGAATGCAATTATTGGACAGGTTTAAGGAAGGTAATTAGATATATACAGTACTGTACTTGGACTAGGAGGCCAAAAAATCAATGAGAAGACTTAAATTGTTTAGATTGGAGTAAAGGTTTGAAAGATGTTTGAATTATGAGTGGAAGTTGGTGTAATAATTTAGGAAGAATGGCTGAGAAAATAGTAAAATAAATTTGTGATTGCATAAGAGAATTAGTAGTAAAAAAGAGAATGTTTAAATTTGTAGGAATCTCCATTTATCTCCAGTGGTGTCAACAAGTCGCTACAGCTAGCTTATTATGCCAGTCAAGTTTGTCTGGCTCTCTTGGTCACAAGGGCATCTATTGAAGTGTCACTTGCACGTTAAGTGGCCTAATAATTTAAGATGCCCAGAGAAAGAGCTAAACCAGAACAAAAATTCATGCAGTGAAGTATAATACAGATTCTAAGAGAGCTGCTTGTGTTTGCAATTATCATTCAAATTATGTTTGGTGAAAACTCCCCAAAATATCTTTCCAAATTTACCTTCAAAACCTGACGTAGTTTGATATTTTACAAAAATTATCCCCGGGTTGAAAATTGGGAGCTAATCCTATATCCATCTCCTCCCCTGTTTTGGCACTCACAAATCTGGGCAGAACCCTGTAAAACTAGATATTTGAGATTTAAACTGTTTGGCTGATAAATTCTTGGAGATTGTGATATTGATTTGTTAAATTGTATTTAGATATGATTTCGTAGGTTGAAATTCCTTGTTTAAATGATTGTTAACTATTATGAAAAAAAGAACTTGCAGCAGGTCACATAGTGGATCTTTTAAAAGTTCACAGTGAAATAATGAGTTTTCTTTACTGCATTTATTTTGTTCAAATTAGCAATGGTCTGCAAGTAGAACTTACCTGTATCAGGGTTTGGTGTTTTGAAAGTGCAGAACAATTTGATATTTATAAATATTTTGCCTGTAGGTCCTGATGCCAAGCGACCCCCAGGTGGTGGTGGTGGTGGCGGCGGCGGCAGCGGAGGCGGTGGTGGCGGAGGAGGAGGAAGTGGCAGTGGAGGCGGAAGTGGAAGCGGCAGCTCCAGTGGTGGTGGCGGAGGAGGTGGTGGTGGTGGAGGTGGGGACGGAGTCTTCATGGGAGGGCCATTGATGGGTGGTCCAGGTGGTCCACCTGGAGGTGGAGGCCCTCCAGGTGGTGGCGGTCCTCATCGTGGTCTTGGAGCAGTCGAGTCTGATGAGATCCAGGTTCCAGACAAGATGGTTGGCCTTAGTGAGTATAGTTGCCCGTGGGTTCCCAGCTCTTCATTGTACATTTTCTTTATATTGTATCCTCTAACACATATTGTAGAAGTCCTCTTCTTCTGTTATCCTGCCTCTTTATTTACCTAATGGCCATCCACTAGAGGTAGCCATGCAATGGGAAGAAATCCAATCCCTCTGTGGTGCTTGATAATTTTATCTAGGGCTATTTTGAATCCTAGTGCTGTTCTCAATTCTACAGCTTGTGCTGGTAGACTGCTTCATAGATCTATGTATACAATAGTATAGTCATAGATTTCTTTGTTTTCAAGCATGTATTTCCTGCTATCAGTCTCCATTCCCAGTCCTTCTGTATATAGTAGAGTACTTTTCTTTTTCCCCACAATCCCCTTCCATGTCCTTATCACTGACTCCTGCATTTGCTGTAAAAAACTCACTGATTTTATTTGAGGGCAAATGTTCAAATCTGTCACCAATTAATAAAGGACTAGAATGTGCATGAGGTTTTCAACCTATTAACTGTTTTTTGACTAATTGGAAGTGTGGTATATTGGTACATTACACTAATATTTTATCTTAAACTAAAGTAAGATCTCATATTTTGCGCGATTTCATTTCGCGTTTTTGAATTTCGCGAGCACTACCTAATGTAACCAAGTCTTATATTTGGCGTAAAATATCGTGAGTTTAGCGAGATCCAGCAAGCTGAATGCTGGCCACCCTCTTGAATGATGTCACAGCCCTCATACCAGCTACAGTCATTTCAGCTACAACGCGTGTTTAGTCAACGCGATTGATGAATAGGGGAACGCTGTTTGTAAAACGCTAACCTTTGCACACGAATGTTGGCTATAGCGCGATTCCATCCTCAATGTTTTGATTCCATCCGCAACGTTTTAAGCGTGGTGAGGGGTTATGCAATGTTTACAGTTTACGTTCGACATCACATGTTTAATTGATTCTTGTCTTTTGTTTGTGAAGTGTTTTTTGAGAGGTACTCTGTAAATTTATTTTATTTTTGCAAATTTAGCTGTTACCCATAAATACTGGATGAAAAGAAAAGTGAAAAGAATGTTTCGCAGTGAGGACTAATAATGGTTTACACTAGCGCTTTCTCTTTACATCATGTGATCAGTTGAATCGTGCGGTTTCTATCGATTGCTCCGTGATTTTTGCTGTTTTATCCAATTTTGTTGTGCTAGTGATGAATATGGAAAGACAAGGTAAGAAGAATGTTTCCAAGAAACATTCTGGTGATCAAATTGCCGGTGGTGAACGTAAAAGAGGTTTACAAGAACGAGTTGTATCCCACGCCATCCTAGTGACTGCCCGGGCTGCTATTGTGTGCTTTTTTGGGTGGTGCTACCACCTGTTGAGTCAAGATAATGGCCTCTGCCTCTACTGGGGTCCTACTGGTGCTGGTGGGACAGACCCACCTAAGTGGCCAACTAAGGAAAAGGAGAAGTGGGACTATCATAAGGGAGTTAAATTTGCCAAGTACTCAATGCAGGATAAGCAGCGTGTGATTAAGTTACTTGAGGAAGACTTAAAATCTAGTTTCTGGAAAGCACAATCAGGTCAATAAAGGCAGAATTTGGATCATTTGGAGGTTATAAATGGGAAAATCAGAGCTTGATGTAGAGTGGCCAGTCTATATTGTTATTTTTCCCATCAGTTTATGTACAGTATTTGCATTTGGCGAATTTGAATTCGGCGCATTTTTTCCAATATATTACTCGCGAAATACAAGATCTTAATGTATTTCATGTCAAAGCCTGATTTTTTAAACGAAATTCCTGGTGTGTGTTATTGTAACACCAGCATCAGGGTGTGTGTTATTTTAACACAAGCATCATGGTGTGTGTTATTTTAACACCAGCATCATGGTGTGTGTTATAACACCAGCATCATGGTGTGTTATACCACCAGCATCATGGTGTGTGTTATTGTAACACCAGCGTCATGGTGTGTTATAACACGAGCATCATGGTGTGTGTTATTATAACACCAGCATCATCATGTATTATACCACCAGCATCATGGTGTGTTATACCACCAGCATCTTGGTGTGTGTTATAACACCAGCATCATGGTGTGTTATACCACCAGCATCATGGTGTGTGTTATTGTAACACCAGCGTCATGGTGTGTTATAACACGAGCATCATGGTGTGTGTTATTATAACACCAGCATCATCATGTATTATACCACCAGCATCATGGTGTGTTATAACACCAGCATCATGGTGTGTTATTATTACACCAGCATCATGGTGTGTTATTATTACACCAGCATCATGGTGTGTGTTATTATAACACTAGCATCATGGTGTGTGTTATTGTAACACCAGCATCATGGTGTGTTATTACACCAGCATCATGGTGTGTGTTATTATAACACCAGCATCATGATGTATTATAACACCAGCATCATGGTGTATTATACCACCAGCATCATGGTGTGTTATACCACCAGCATCATGGTGTGTTATAACACGAGCATCATGGTGCATGTTATTATATCACCTGCATCATGTTGTGTTATAACACCAGCATCATGGTGTGTTATTACACCAGCATCATGATGTATTATACCACCAGCATCATGGTGTATTATACCACCAGCATCATGGTGTATTATACCACCAGCATCATGGTGCATGTTAATATTTCACCAGCATCATGGTGTGTTATTATAACACTAGCATCATGGTGTGTTATTATAACACCAGCATCATGCTGTGTTATTATAACACCAGCATCATGGTGTGTGTTATTGTAGCACCAGCATTGTGGTGTGTGTTATTGTAACACCAGCATCATGGTGTGTTATTATACCACAAAGCATCCTGGTGTGTTATTATACCACAAAGCATCCTGGTGTGTTATTTTAACACCAGCATCATGGTGTGTGTTATAATACCAGCATCATGCTGTGTTATTACACCAGCATCATGGTGTGTTTTATTATAACACCAGCATCATGATGTATTATACCACCAGCACCATGGTGTATTATACCACCAGCACCATGGTGTATTATACCACCAGCATCATGGTGTCTTATAACACCAGCACCTTGGTGTGTTATTACACCAGCATCATGCTGTATTATACCACCAGCATCATGGTGTATTATACCACCAGCATCATGGTGTTTTATAACACCAGCATCATGGTGCATGTTATTATATCACCAGCATCATGGTGTGTTATTATAACACCAGCATCATGGTGTGTGTTACTGTAACACCAGCATCATGGTGTGTGTTATTGTAACACCAGCATCATGGTGTGTGTTTTTGTAACACCAGCATCATGGTGCATGTTATACCACCAGCATCATGGTGCATGTTATTATAACACCAGCATCATGGTGCATGTTATTATAACACCAGCATCATGGTGCATGTTATTATAACACCAGCATCATGGTGCATGTTATTGTAACACCAGTATCATTGTGTGTGTTATTGTAACCCCAGCATTGTGGTGTGTTATTGTAACCCCAGCATTGTGGTGTGTTATTGTAACCCCAGATTGTGGTGTGTTATTGTAACGCCAGCATTGTGGTGTGTTGTTATAACACTAGCATCATGGTGTGTTAATGCAACACCAGCATCGTGGTATGTGTTATTGCAACACCAACATCGTGGAGTGTTATTGTAACACGAGCATCATGGCGTGTTATTGTAACACCAGCATTGTGGTGCGTTATTATAACACCAGCATTGTGGTTTGTGATGTTTTTGTAACACTGTTTTAGCTGTGGTATGATATCGAACTTTCTCACTTGTTATCACTTGCTTGAATGAGTGTAGGGTTAGTCGCTGGTACCTTTGATGCAGCTGAGTGAGATAACAGGTAATCTCATGGCATGTAACCTTTGATACAGCCGTAGATTGGTTGATAGTTGAAATCGTCATAGCTGGCCTGGGTTGTAATTATCTTAGCTTGTAAGTTAAACAAGACACAGGAACTGTTCTCTTCACTCGTTGTTCCTTGGTTTAATGTAAACACACGTGGTAATTTTCTAGTTATATTGGGTAGTCATGTCTGTACACTTATTTGGTATTGACAGACTAATGAGCATTAGCTGTTAGCTTGTAATTAGCTGATATTAATTAGAGAGTGGTACAGCCTGGAGAGCTGGTCTCACGACACGACTTTAGGGTATTATGTCGGGCTGTGAACTGGGGGAACTGGGCTGTACTATCTTGAGTCTGGTGCCTGGTGGTTGGAGAATGACCCACACTTCAACAGGGACATTATCTAAACAGCCTACCAACACAGAGGGTTGAGTCTGTAGATTTATGGGCTGTACACCAGAGAAGGTGTTAAACAACAAATGTTTATGGGCAGTCCACCCTCATAGGTGTGACAGAAGAAATGCAGTGTTATGGTAATGTGGTGTTATTGTAACACCAGCATTGTGGTGTTTTATTATAACACCAGCATCATGGTATGATGTTATAACACTAGCATCATGGTATGTTTTCATAACACCATCATCATGGTGTTTTATTATAACACCAGCATCATGGTGTGCTTTATTATAATACCAGCATCATGGTGTGTTATTTTAACACCAGCATCATGGTGTGTGTTATTATAACACCAGCATCATGGTGTGTGTTATTATAACACCAGCATCATGGTGTGTGTTATTATAACACCAGCATCATGATGTGTGTTATTATAACACCAGCATCATGATGTGTATTATTATAACACCAGTATCATGTGTGTTATAACACCAGCATCATGAAGTGTGTTATTATAACACCAGTATCATGATGTGTGTTATTATAACACCAGCATCATGATGTGTTATTATAACACCATCATCATGATGTGTGTTATTATAACACCAGCATCACGATGTGAGTTATTATAACACCAGCATCATGGTGTGTTACTATAACAGCCAGCATCATGGTGTTATTATAACACCAGCATCATGGTGTGTTATTATAACACCAGCATCATGATGTGTTATAACACCAGTATCATGGTGTGTGTTATTATAACACCAGCATCATGATGTGTGTTATTATAACACCAGCATCATGGTGTGTTATTATAACACCAGCATCATGATGTGTTATTATAACACCTGCATCATGGTGTGTTTTTATAACACC